TTTGGTTTTTTCCTGATGTGACACTTCGAAAATGTGTAAGGAAAAATCCACGTTTGAAAAATCTGAAATTCAACATTACGATCGTAAGCCTTCTCAGCTTCGTTGGTGTAGTGGTAGCATAGCAGCCTACCAAGCTGTTGACATAGGTTCGATTCCCGTACGATGCATAATCTCAGACGACCGGTTAAAGAGTATTTAATTTCAGTGAAAGATTGAACATTACTTTTGTGTGCGTTAGAGGGACAAATTACTCATGAAATAGTTCATTTTTGTCGTTTTTTGAATTCCCACTGACGTTGAGAAATAACAAACCAGAAACAACAACAGCTTTCGGTTAATGAGAACAAATTAGTCTGGTTAGCAAAAAAACTACTCCGCTTCCCAAAGAATTATTTTGGGTTTTTCTTGATATGACACTCAGAAAGTGTGTAAGGAAAATCCCACGTTTGAAATTTCCGAAATTCATCATTACGATCGTAAGGCTTCTCAGCATCGTTGGTGTAGTGGTAGCATAGGAGCCTTCCAAGCTGTTGACATGGGTTCGATTCCCGTACGATGCATAATATCAGACGGGCGGTAAAATAATATTTAATTTCAGGGAAAGATTGAGCATTACTATTGTGTGCGTTAGAGGGACAAAATATTTAAATTCTTGTCGTTTTTTGAATTCCCATTGACCTGAAGAAGAAACAAACCAAAAAAAAACAACAGCTTTCGATGAATGAGAACAAATTTTTCTGGTTAGCGAAAAGTTTAATCCGCTTCTCAAAGAATTTTTTTGTTTTTTTCTTGATGTGACACTTAGAAAATGTGTAAGGAAAAATCCACGTTTGAAAGTTCTGAAATTCATCATTACGATCGTAAGTCTTCTCAGCATCGTTGGTGTAGTGGTAGCATAGCAGCCTTCCAAGCTGTTGACGAGGGTTCGCTTCCCGTACGATGCATAAACTCAGACGGGCGGTAACAGAATTTTTAATTTCAGAGAAAGATTGAGCATTACTATTGTGTGCGTTAGAGGGAAAAAATATTCTTGGAATAGTAAATTCTTGTCGTTTTTTGAATTCCCAAAGTCGTTGTTGAGAAGTAACAAACCAGAAACGACAGCTTTCGATTAATGAGAAACAAAGGAGTCTGGTTAGCGAAAAAACTATCAGCTTCTCAAAGAATAGTTTTGGTTTTTTCTGATGTGACACTCGGAAAATGTAAAAGGAAAAATCCATGTTTGATAGTTCTGAATTTGATCTCTTCGATCGTTAACCTTCTCAGCATCGTGACGACCGGTAAAAGAGTATTTAATTTCAGGGAAAGATTGAACATTACTATTGTGTGCAAAAAAGGGACAAAATACTCAAGAAAAAGTAAAATTTTGTCTCTTTTTGAATTCCCAAATCCTTGAGATGTAACAAACCAGAAACAACAACATCTTTTGATGATTGAGAACAAATTGTTCTGGTTATCGAAAAATTTACTCCGCTTCTCAAAGAATTATTTTGGTTTTTTCTTGATGTGACACTTCAAAAATGTGTAACGAAAAATCCACGTTTGAAAAATCTGAAATTCATCATTACGATCGAAAGCCTTCTCAGCATCGTTGGTGTAGTGGTAGCATAGCAGCCTACCAAGCTGTTGGCATGGATTCGATTCACGTACAATGCATAAACTCAGACAACCGGTAAAAAGTATTTCTTTTCAGGGAAAGATTGAAAATTACTATTGTGTGCGTTAGAGGGACAAAATATTCAAGAAATAGTAAATTCCAGTAAATTTGGTAGCATAGCAGCCTTCCAAGCGGTTGACATGGGGTCGATTCCCGTACGATGCGTAAACTCAGACAACCGGTAAAAGCGTATTTCTTTTCAGGGAAAGATTGAACATTACTATTGTGTGCGTTAGAGGGACAAAATAATCATGAAATAGTAAATTCTTGTCTCTTTTTGAATTCCCAAAGTCCTTGAGAAGTAAAAAACGACAAAACGACAGCTTTCGATTAATGAGAAACAAATTAGTCTGGTTAGCGAAAAAACTACTCCGCTTCTCAAAGAATAGTGTTGGTTTTTTCTGACGTGACACTCAGAATATTTGTCAGGAAAATTCCAAGTTTGAAAGTTCTGAGATTCATCTCTTCGATCGTAAGCCTTCGCAGCATCGTTGGTGCAGTGGTAGCATAGCAGCCTTCCAAGCTGTTGACATGACTTCGATTCCCGATCTCAGACGACCGGTAAAAGAGTATTTAATTTCAGAGAAAGATTGAACATTACTTTTGTGTGCGTTAGAGGGACAAATT